TCATACTCGTGCGAGCAGCAGCATGTGCAGCATAAGATGCCGCAGCAGACGCTGTAGCAGCAGGCTCGAAGCCGCATCCTCAGATGCTCCGTAATGCTCAGTAGTGGGACGTTCGAAGGATTCTTGGACTCTGCAACACAAGCTGAAAGGTCCTATGCCGAGCGACAGCAATCTCCACATTCTGCCCATGAGTAACAGGACGGGCCGACAAAGGCACTTCACAAATATCAACAGCTGCCGCAGGAAGTGCCTCAACATGAACGGGCAACACAGAACAAAGGAGATGCGCAGTTGCCTTATAAAGAAAGCAAGAAGGATCTGCACAGGCAAGCTGCTTCTTCCACACGCCGGCCTTCGTGCCCACAACAGAGCACAGCCTCCAGCAGTGACGGCTCACATGCTCACATACTCACGATACTGTCACGGCTCATGAGATGTGTCGAAGCATCGGGATGGGCTTCGCACATGGGGAAGCCAATGACGACCCAGAACTGGAGCACAAAAACGCTCCCGAACACATTCAGCAGCATGTCCCACGATGGGTCCGATGACTCTTGCGTGGCGGAGAAGAGGACGAAGCCTCACCAAAGCAGAACTGCCCTTTGGCACATCTTGACACTCAGTCATCAAGACTGGACGTCAGCCAAGCAGCACAAAAAGACAAGGTTGGCAATGAAAGACACCTGGCAAGTGATGGTGTACCTCGGGGCATACAGGAGATTCACGGCCAGCCATTCAACACGCGGAAGCACATGAGAAGCCAAGCAGCCCCCGAGAAGCCTTTTTCATGACGGTCTCCTTGGCTACTTTTTTTGGTCGTGGGGGTGTGAGCGTGGCCTGATGAAAAACACTGCACTCTGCACACTGCACAAGGCCAAGTGCTTAACATCACCCGTTGCTGCCATGCATCCTTTGCCATCATGTCTGCAACCTGGTTGAATAGAAACACGAACTGTCCGATGTCAAGGTAGCCATCATCAGCCGACTCCTGCGCTCTAGGTTTCAAAGTGGCCTCAAGAAGCCATCCAGAATGCACAAGCATGGGGGGCGCGGGTCCTCTTCCCTGTGGAACCACCACATGAGCTTTTCCGCTGCGGGTCCCTCCATGAAGATGCCACACACCTTCAAGGCCTCAGGCGTGCCTTTCTGCTCAATGAGTACTTTGGTGATGCTACACACACACACAGCTAACGCTTCCAAAAGCTATTAGTAAGCTTTTGCTTTCGGCGACATATCCAGTCTAAGGCCGAGGCGGCCTGCAACTCACGCGGCGTGATGCGATTCCTGTATGTGACGTCGATTTCCTTGCAGCAGGGGCTCTGAGAGGATAAATGAGCTTCGCCTGGGGAAGGGCGCACCGAGACACTGTTAACCTTGGGGTGAAACCGAGGGGAAGTCCAAGCTGCCTGAAAAGCATCCTGCAACATGACGACCTCACGGCGCACTAAGCGTAAAACACTAACACGAGAGGAGCTCGTGGCCACGCAGCGCTCTGATTCGACCCAGGCACCGGGACCCTGGTGGCTCCTCGTCCTCTCCGTGCCTCCTCCAACATCTTGTCAAGCACCTGACCCCATTTTTTTAGGAGGTTGGACATTGTCGTCTTGCGCTCCCCACAGCTGGGGAGCTACCGGCAACTTACGATGATGCAGCGGCGGCCGCGACACGGACTGAATTTCAGGCGCCTACGAGCGTTTGCAGAACAAGGAAGGTGGGGGCCCCCGGTCAGTCAGACAGGACATGCACTGATCAAAACTAAAGGCCAAGCCACGCGTAAAGCCAATTGCAGCTTCTTTCATGCTCTCCATTGTCGCGACTAAGAGCAGCGCCTTCTTGAGAGCTTCTTGCGGGCTTCGTCGGATGCGAAGCTCAATTGTAGCACGTCTCAGCTCGTCCTTTATGGAAACTGGGCCCCAGAAACAAAGGAAAACCACCCATCCCAAAAATCAGATGCAGTTGCCGAAGAGTGAGTCCTCTGTCAACACAGCTCTTCGTCCTTTGCCCGTCTTCATTCTGAGACGCTCTTCAATGATCCACTCTTCATAGCTGAGGTCCTGTACAAGAAAGAGACTGAGGTTGAAGGAGCGCGGCATGTTGCATAAAGCCCTGTACGTTGCGTGCCAGCTGCATCATTCTACATGTCAGGCCTCAATGTCACACACATCGAGAATCTGCCTGCTTACTCTGTATCTGTCCTGCACGCAGCAGGCGGGGGCATCCGATTTGTAGTAGCACATATCTATGGCTCACCATGTTGATAGATCTCCGAGGTGCATGGCAACTATGCTTTGCTAGAACCGTGCTCAGCAGGCTTTGGCAACCCGATCCAGCCGAGGGATGTCGTAAAGGTTGTCGACGCATTCCACCAAGGCTTGCTGGATTCGGGCACGCTCCTGCTGGAAAAACCAAGTGCTGGCGGCCCCTCGAAGTTGGCACCATACTCTAGGCTCATAAATTGCATTGTTCACCTATGCTCTGCTGTTCGTTTCCTGCACCCCGCACTGGGCATGCTCTTCTCAGCATCTGCCCTTACCATGCCCTGCCCAATTCACTCTTGCTGCAAGCGGCTGGAGCAACTCCACAGTGAACATAGTTGGAGTGGAGCAGGCAACATGGGTGCAACAAGCCTTTCAGTTTCAAGAACTGTTCGTTGGAACCATGACTCCGATGATATCTGGACCTTTGTGTTCAGGATTTGCTTGTAGATGCGGTGGTGGCAGTGATTGGCACGGGCATCTCAGGCAGAAGGCACAATCCTTCTGGGCCTAGAATGTCCTGTGCAAGAATTCCACAATTTATCTCCGAACATCATTCCTCCTCCTCGGTCAACCCCTCTGTCTCCTCCTGCCAGGATTGCAAAGGCACACCAGGCTACACATGGGTACAAGAAAGTGCCCTCTCTGGCGCCTTCCAAGTTGGCCTCGGGTCCACCAATCTGGACGGTGTCGCCTTGGAGGCCTGGTACAGCACCATGGTCGTCTCAGCAGGGGCACGAAGGGACGAAGGCGGAAGTGCTTCTCATCTCACGGATCGAACCACGTGCTGAGATAGACAACTCAAGGCTTCAATAAGGGCTCGACACCCAAGAAAGCGGCCGAGACCGAGCCCGTGAGAAAGAAGACGCCTCTAGTCTCTCGCGTGACTGAGATTGCTTTGAGTCTGGTGTCTTTGGGAAACCGAAGTTGTGCCTTCCCTAGCCCTTAGCCTCAGCCCTCTTTGACCTCTCGTGCCGCTGCGCCACCGGGTGCTGTGCCCAAGCCTTTCGAATCCATGACTAGGAGTGCCCCCAGCGCCTCGGCGAAAGAGTGCTGGCCCCGTCCAGTCCCACAATGTCCCACAATGTCCCACAATGTCCCACAATGTCCCACAATGTCTTTTGAGGATAGTTTCAAAAGTCCGAGCGGCCAGAAGCATGGACGAGGCACTGCAAAGAGCGAGGAAGCCGCCCAGCAGGAGGAGGAGGATGGAGTGGACGCTGACACAGGGGGTGATTCTGCGCAAGGACAAAGTAAGGACCAGAGCCCCAAGTGCAAAAAACAACTGCCAGTAAAATTCTGAGCGAGAGTCCACGCAGCCAGGAAGATTAAAAGGTCCGCTCCGAAAATTGTCAGCACGCCCAGGACACCCAGCCAGGCAGCCGCCGTCACCTCGGAGTGAGGCAGGAAATGGACGAACATGGACTAACTGGGCTGGCAGGAACTTTCTTTATCACCTTTGGCTTGACTCACATGGACTATCTGGCGCACAGAGCATTGGGTCTGGCATTGGCGCTGCGCAGGCGCAGTCGGACACCATCCTAGCGATGAAGATGGGCTTCCGACCCAGAAGCAAATCTGCTCGTCGGGCTCCAATGGCTGTGGTGTGAAGCCGCTGCCCTCAATGAGAGCAGCTACCACCGCAACAGCTTCGGGAGAACCTGATTCGAACGGCATGGCTGCCAGCACTGGCCCACTATCACCATCACTGATCTCACTCAGCTGGCCTGCAGAATAGTCTGGGCTGCAGAACTGCTGCCACGAAAAGCCAGCTACCTCAAGTCGGAAGGAATCAGGCATGCAGCGGCGAAGGATAATATGGGCCAAGGCGAGGTTATTTCAGTCAGGTCCTGCAACATGCCTCTGGTTCGTACAGGCACTCGCCGAGGAGCAGGGGCTGCGGAGCCCATCCATTCCGGCCGAACGAAGTCGAAGTGGAACAAGGTTGCTGTCCTTTTGGGGACGAGGGATCGTGAGGGGCCTGATGGTGAGGGACAGTTTGCTGCAACTCTCGTGGTTGTCCTGTTGTGAGATAGTCAAGGAATCGTCACAAAACGAGTACGTTTTTGCCGAGCCGCGCAGTGGGTGCCGGGAGTCCAGGGAGGGGTGTCCATCGCAGCAGCTGCTCCGAAGGAACCCCGGCCCAAAGTGGCACGAAGAGCAAGGGCGTAGCGCTGGCCTCAATGGCACAAGAGCATCACAAGTCATCTGCCCAATGGCTCGGGGCTTGTCTTGGGATTTTCCACCGTCTTTGCTTCATCCAAGGCACCACGGACGTTAGGAGCAGCAGCCCGCCAAACCAACCGCCACATTTTATCCTTCAGACAGTTGAAGCATTGAAGCAGCTTCCAGCAGGAACCACACTTCTAAAGGCACAGCTCACCCTGCTGTGACTTCCGCGCCTGTGGGTGTCAAACCCTTGCTTTGCAAAGGGCGATGTGGGGTCCATGACTGTTGGCCATGGTGACACAAGATGCACGCTGTTCAACTTAAAGCAGCATGAGGTTGGCTGCACAACCCGAGGTTGGCTGCACAGGGCCATCCCAACACTTATGGGAACCTTCGAAACACACTCGTGCCAAAAAAGAGGGCAAACTTCACAAGACCATATCAACAATACCTGCCGGGAGCCCAAAAAAAATGACGGAAGCGGCGGCGTACAAGCCATCGTCATGATCCCTAACTTTCGCCCCGATGACCCAAAAAAACCTTCAAAATTCATGACCCCTTGCATGCCGGATGGGCCCATCATCTCCCAGGTTCAGCATGCGCTTCAGCCTGGGCATCGGGGACCTAGCCCCTTTTGGACCCCCAAACCCTAAACCCAAAACCCCGAAACTTGAGTGCCCCTGCGAGGCCAACTCCTCTTGAAGCTGCTGGCACTGGCGGTCTTTCTTTGCAAGCCTCAGTCACAACAGCTGGGAAAGGCAGGGTAGGCTCCGAGAGACTTTCACTCCTCCAGCACACATCTCAGCAGCACCACCTACCGGACCTACCGCAACATGCCCGAACTCTCATTTCTGCCTCTTTTTCATCCGCCACTGAGTCTTTTGGAGGGCCTGAAAGATCAGAAGGATGGTGCCCGGTTTGGCGCCTTGCCGGGTTGCGATGCAATGGTTCTTGAGCTCTTTGAGCCCCAGTGCCCCGCATCTGCTAAGAACCATGGACCACAACACCGAAGTCGGCAGCTCACTGAGACTCTCAAATTGGGCTAGCGCCTCAAGGCGTGTTTTGTTGTGGGTGACACTGGCAGGGAAAGAACTGAGCCGGGCACCATCGTACAGATCTGCATAAGCAGACCGGCAGGAAAATACACGTCCCAAGTCCTCCATCTAAGCATTCCGGCATTGAACCGGATTTTTCTGGGCCATCACATGGCCACATCTACGCACACTTTGTCAGAGAGAGCCCGCGCTCAATCGCCGTATGTGTGCGAAAACTGCCTTGCAGGGGCACCGACAGCAATCGAACTGCAGAAGACGGTACAGCTTGGGCAGTATGCTGCTTGATACTGGAGGAGCTTGCACCGGCAAACAATGACTGGTTTCAGAGGTCGAGCACGTTGGGGGGAACTCTGTGGCAGCAAAAGGAGTGCATGACCCAATGACATGATGAAGAGAGGTTAACATCGAGAAGGCAGGGGCCTCAGAGGCCTCAGGTCAGATGGAAACACTATGCCGAAAGCAAACGCGGACGAGGGAGTATGTGAGATTTCTTGCGGGTGCTATCATATCATCATTATAATACTACAATAATTATCATCATTCTAACCATAATAGTATTACAAAATCTACAATATCCTAATATTGTGTTTGTAATATTACAAGACCGCTAAACCTGCGAGTTGGTCAGGCCTGCGGCGGTGTTCCGCCAGGAGCCAGTAGTGGCCGACACTCCGGGTCACCGTTGACAGTCCTGCTGCGGTGTTAGGGTTTAGGGTTTAGGGTTTAGGGGTTAGGGTTTAGGGTTTAGGGTTGAGGGTTAAGGGTTTAGGGTTTAGGGTTTAGGGTTTAGGGTTTAGGGTTTAGGGTTTAGGGGCGACCGGGTCGAAACACAACCAAACGGGAGAAAACACAACCCAACGGGGGAAAACACAACTGAACCATGTTTGTGGGCTGGCCCGAACGGGAGAAACTACAACTGGCTATTGCAGTGCCTTTATACGTTTGGACATGCCCTGCAGAAAAACCATGGTGCATCCTTAAGGTTTCAGGACAAAATCTGGACAATGGTGGTTGTGATTCATCCCTTCTCTTTGCGCCATAGCACGAGCATAGAATATACAATAGAATACTCATATTATATCTAATATAACAATATAGAATACAGTGCGTAATATAAATAAATATATATACAGATGTATATATATATATATATATGTGTATATGTATGTATGTGTGTTTTTTGTAACTCAACAAAGCCAACAAGTCAACCAAAGTCCCTCCAAACCCCCGGCCTCCAATAACTCAACAAAACCAACAATTCAACCTAAATCCCTCCAAACCCCTGGCCTCCAATAACTCAATAAAACCAACAATTCAACCAAAATCCCTCCACACGCTTGGCATCCGACTCTAAGACCCTAAAGACCCAGTTGCATTATCCCCCATCTGGTTGTATTATCCCCCATCTAAGCCAAAATCTCAAGATTTCAGTTGTGTTTTTGCCCATCTGGTTGTATTATCACATCTAGTTGTAGTTAGCCTTATTCTCAGGTTTAGGGTTTAGGTTTAGGGTTTAGGATTTAGGATTTAGGATTTAGGATTTAGGGATTAGGGTTTAGGGTTTAGGGTTTAGGGCTTAGCGAGCTTCGCAAAAGCTCACATACGCGGTCCTTGAGCCGCCAAGGTAAGCCGGGATGATGGAATCATCCATGTGCTGTCGGAGCACCTGACGAGAGTTGCAAAGGGCATGCCAAAAAAAAGAAACCCGCAGCAAACTTCGGACAATGCCTTAAGTGAATCCTCCGCACTGATGATACGGATGATCTTGGCAGTGTGGGGGCTGACCTGAGCCACCCAAGAAACACTGCTTTACGGCCCCACCTTCCCCGCCTGACTGCCGCTTACGCGCAAATGCGACCCAAAAGCCAGCAGATGCTTGAGCGTGTTCCACACAGCCGTAAATGCCGCTGGCGCATTGATGATAAGCACCTCAGAGAAAGCTCAACAAATGTACAACTGTACACTTCACACTAGAAAACCTGTGCGTGGGGAGGCAGTGAAAAAGAGCCAAGCGCTTTTCACAGCTCGCAAAACTCACCACAACATACCCGCACGAGGTCAGCACCAACTGGGCCCCCACAATGAACATGACGAGGAGCTCGCCGCCCCGAGTGTGGCGCCAGGTGTATCCTGTTCTTCAGGATCATCCCCAAGGCTTTCAGCGTGCGTGGGCTGAAGTTCCGCCAACCTCAAGGAGGGTCAAGGGATAACCAACCATCCTACGGCTCTTTCGGGGGAGCACTTAAGACAATACACGGACATGTATATCTATATATATATATATATATGTTCTCCTCAACATCTACTGTATATTACCTATTTATACGCAAATACATCTATGACCTACATCGACACATAGATTAGATAGTTGAACCAAGCGGCCGATTCCTTGCAAATCCTCTACCAGCGTCGCGTCGACGAACGGCAGGTGTCTGCGAACGCTGTCCTGCCATGTGGCAAGCTTCCAGCCCCAGCTGCAATAAGCTGCCGCTTGGTTCTCCGAAGGTTGCGAAGGGTAGGAACAACTTTGCCAGTCAAAATTTGCCGGGATCCCCTTGGCGCCCTTCAAAAGTCCTGCAAATACCACACGAAACGGAAAAGGGTAGGAACAACTTTGCCGGTCAAAATTTGTCGGGATCCCTGTCGCACCCTGCACAAAACCTGCAAATACCACACAAAACCGAAGAGGGTAGGAGCAACATTTGCCGGTCAAAATTTGCCGGGATCTCTTGGCGCCCTGCAAAAGTCCTGCAAATACCACACAAAACGGAAAAGGGTAGGAACAACTTTGCCGGTCAAAATTTGCCGGGATCCCCTTGGCGCCCTTCACAAGTCCTGCAAATACCACACAAAACGGAAAAGGGTAGGAACAACTTTGCCGGTCAAAATTTGTCGGGATCCCTGTCGCACCCTGCACAAAACCTGCAAATACCACACAAAACCGAAGAGGGTAGGAGCAACATTTGCGGGTCAAAATTTGCCGGGATCTCTTGGCGCCCTGCAAAAGTCCTGCAAATACCACACAAAATGGAAAAGGGTGGCAACAACTTTGCCGGTCAAAATTTGCCGGGATCCCCTTGGCGCCCTGCAAAAGTCCTGCAAATACCACACAAAACGGAAAAGTGTAGGAACAACTTTGCCGGTCAAAATTTGTCGGGATCCCCGTCGCACCCTGCACAAAACCTGCAAATACCACACAAAACCGAAGAGGGTAGGAGCAACATTTGCCGGTCAAAATTTGCCGGGATCCCCTTGGCGCCCTGCAAAAGTCCTGCAAATACCACACAAAACGGAAAAGGGTAGGAACAACTTTGCCGGTCAAAATTTGCCGGGATCCCCTTGGCGCCCTTCACAAGTCCTGCAAAATACCACACAAAACGGAAAAGGGTAGGAACAACTTTGCCGGTCAAAATTTGTCGGGATCCCTGTCGCACCCTGCACAAAACCTGCAAATACCACACAAAACCGAAGAGGGTAGGAGCAACATTTGCGGGTCAAAATTTGCCAGGATCCCCTTGGCACCCTGCAAAAGTCCCGCTTCGCTTTGGGACGCTTTAGATCTACCATCTCCCCTTCAGCAACCCCGACCTTTCGTGTTTTGGACTCCCGGCACGGTTCAGGTGAAAGGCAAGGGAGCCTAAGGGAGCATAGTCCGAAGGTGCCTCCTCCAGGCCGGCCAAGGTTCGTACAGAATGCACGATGTCCATCTTCCTGGGCAGAGGTCTTGATTGGGAAGTGGGTGCAGGGGCGGGGGGGGGGCGGGGGGGGCACCTCTCCAAGTACAGACATCGGACTCGGAATTGCGTGCTAGTAAAGTCGGACAACTTCGCCCATCACGTGTTTATTCAGCTCCAGTGCCTTCACTCTTCTGGGAAACAGACGCTTCTACATCGCATTATTATTACATCGCCTGGGATGGGTTCTTCATTGCAATCTTTCGCTGCTTCGTTTCTGCTTCGAACTTCTGTCGCTTGCTTTTCCCCCCTAACTCGTCTCCCGGAACTTCGCTCAAGCCACATGTAACAACCCCTGCTCTCCCGCAAAATCCCAGAACGCCGCCTTTCTAGTCATACGTTCGTTGCAGCTCATAGGGTTTAGGGTTTAGGGTTCAGGGTTTAGGTTTAGGGGTTTAGGGTTTCGGCCAGCAGCTGCAGCAGATCATGGGAGACGTTGTCATGGAGGGAGGTCCAGTCAGCACGTCCAATGCGCTCCTTGAGGCACGTCATTACTATCATTATAATAATTGTTATTATGATTATCATTATTATGATTATTATTACGATTGTCACTACTATTCTTATAACGAGTATTTACCCTTATTTCGGATGATTATTGTCACTACTATTACGTTATTGCCGTATTATTATCGCTATTGATGTTATGGTATCATTGTTGGTATTACCATTCTTATTGTTATTACTGCGATTTGTTCTTTATTGCTGTCATTATTCTGGAATGCTCATGCAAGACGACCCACACCATGTGCAAGAAGCCCGGAGGTGCTCAGAGAGCTTTTGGACCATACGCCGAGGCTCCAGGATGACAGGCTCCCCTTCAAGTCCAAGGCCTGCATATCGTTGCAGCTACAAGAGTGTGCTGTTCGGTAGGAGGGTTTAGGGTTTAGGGTTTAGGGTTTAGGGTTTAGGGTTTAGGGTTTAGGGTTTAGGGTTTAGGGTTTAGGGTTGCTTTATTGGGCACCCGACTAGCCACGGCACAGCAGGGTTGATTGGTAGGTCTCGGGAAAATCATGAAAAGAAACCCCAGGGACGCAAGCCTGAGTGGGGATAGCGCCTGATGGCATTCAGAGTAGGACATATGTGGAACAGGATAAACCTACCTCTACCCAACAGAAGCACGCCCTGCCAGAGACCATCACAGACGTACCCAGCTAATCAAAACAAATAAACCGAGGTGATGGGTGCCTCTGCCTCTCTTACTGGTCTGGCCCCTATGTGCTGCGATTAACGGAGCTGGCGATCCTTAAAACACAGGGAACACAGCAGGCTCGATCTAAAGGGAGGTTTCAAGAAATGGGGGCCATGACCTCCCTCAGTTTTCGAGGGTACGTGAGGCATCATGTTAGAAACTCGCTGAGAGGAGCCGTGTAATGTGGTGACCAGGCAACGCCTCACCCGGTTTTTTTTTGCCACCCGACTAGCCACGGCAAAGCGGGGTAAATGGGTCGGAGGAACGGAAAAAGGACCCGGTTTAGGGTTTAGGGTTTAGGGTTTAGGGAAAGTCGGCAGTTTCCTAGCGTCCAGCATGTTGGGGATGTAGCCCTGGTTCACACAACGGGCGAAAGGTGGCTGGCCCAAGAGTCCTAAGCCGCAGAGGAAAGCCCCGTTACTAGTAAGGCCTTGCGGGAGACATGCTCGAGACCCATATATGCTAAACCAAGAATTCATGCCCAGAAACCCTTTTTAAGCACGGACTGAGGAAGCTGCCGGCGACACTAAACCCTAAACCCTAAACCCCATATTCGAGCAACCACCCGGCGTCGCACCTAAGAATCCACCAGTCGGCCACCATGGCGCAAGGCAGCGCTCGTAGAGCTCCAGATTCCAGTGGGTCAGCGCTCTTGGCACATCGTTCTCCCTCTGCCAGTGCACCTTGGCAAGAGCTCCAGAACAGGGTGCTGGCGCAGGAATGAATATCGGATGAGCTCGCCTGAACATTAAAATCATAGCAGATTGTGATTCCTCAACATGTCCTGTTATGTGTGCATTTGCCTCCATAGCATTAAGCCATCGTCACGCTTGCGTATGCTTGCGCTAGGGGCTCTTGTGTGGAACTTGCTTCCGCCTACATCTCTACCGAAGGTGCTCTAACACCAGAACTTTAACCGCTTGGGTATTTACTGTGTATGTTGGTGCTTCTTTCGTACCCTTTCCTGCAACAACCATGTGTCAGACGCGCCTGTGACATATGCCTGGGACATCGTGAAGAAGCCAGTCTTTCAAGAGGGAAAGGGACCAGGCGCACTGTGACGCGATGGCTATTGGTTCCAAGCCAGATGAGGCCACTACCCCAGTTGACGGCTTTATGCTTCCCAGCTCTGCAGCAGCAACTAGGAGGCATGATCCGGAAGGGTTATTTGTTGTGTAGATGGCCCGGCGATGCAATTTAACCGCCACTTCGAAGGAGGGGATGCTCTGCGTATCCTCTGTGGGTTTTTCGTGGCCTTCGGGGTATGGAGACAATTCCGGAAGAGGTGTTTGGGACACCGTGGCGGCTTGGGTTCTGCCCCAGGAGTCCCCCTCCGTGCTGCATCCAAGACTGCCTCTACCTAAACTGGGTACACAGCATGAGCAGTTCAGCTTGAAGGCAGCTGCTTTCTGGAAAAAGACAAATATATCTACTTCAGAGACAAGTACATAAATGCTGTGCCAAGCCACCGCTTCGCGGAATTTCGCCTCTGCTGCATCCACACTCCGGCCTTCCCGAAGGAAGCCTTGGTTGATCGGAAGATGTTCGGCCGAGATTCCACCCCGGCCCCCTTCCCGTCATTTCCCGTCTTTCGTCTTCCATGCCGGGCATCGGAGGAGCGTGCAGAAATCCGACCGCAGCGCAGCAGAAGTCAGATCGGAGACGCGCCGGGAAAGTTGCTCAACACCTGTTACGCGGCAGAAGAAGCTTAAAACATGAGAACACCGGCAATGCTCTTGAGAGGCTCATGAGCCCAAGCCATTCCTGCCTTCCCGCTCTTCAGCATCCACTTCTGGCAAAGGAAGGTTGCGGAGTGCTGCTGGAGCCTCCGAAAGTGAACCCACGGCGGCCCAATAAAGCCAGAACCCCGCACCCCCGGTTCGCCTGCAACTCGGGGGGCTTCCCGAAGGGATCTGCCCGCAGCCCGCAGTACTTGTAGCGTCCGTAGCCGAGCCGTCGGGCCTCCTCCTTAGCCGCTTATGCTCTTTGAGCTTCTAGCATCTGAAGAGAGCTCTGCCAGGGTTAAAAAAGAATTCCTGGAGAAAGATGCAGCGCCTGGGCACTGCATGCGGCCCATACAGATCCCATACGGCTAGCTGGACAGGTCAAAGCACCGGGCTGCTCTTCTCATTGGGTTGCTGGCAGAACTGCCGTGCCCGCCTGCGCAGTCTTTCCCCACATTCTTAAATCTCACGCAGAAAGGGCTCCAGAGACCGGACTACGGACTACTCTGATTCACGCCAGAGGAAAGTAGGCCCAAGCCCTATCGAACTATTTTTACAGATTGGTGGTACGTACTAACTACAAGAGCACGGAGAAACCATGAAGATATGCAGGCCGCTTCGACTGCACAGAAGAGTCCACTTCCAAAAACTGCTCCAGACACACAGACAGGAAACTCCCATAAGGCGGGGGGGGCAGTTTGAGGACGAGGCGGATGAGTCGTTGTGGTCGCGGTGCTACGTCTAGCGCTTTAATCGCCTTCGTCGTTTTCCTTGGTTTAGCCGGCCTATGGCAGCACAGCGAAAACGACCAGAAAGGCCGCTCGTGGACTTCGAGCTTGCAGGGCTTCAGCCCGGCACCCTTCCTGCAGCAGCCGCACTGAGTCAGTTCCTGCACGTTTCCTGCGCGACTGCGTGCCTGGACAAGCTCGCATCCACAGCCTCCGTGTTCCAGTCGACGTAGTCCTCCCACAGCAAAGCAGCACTCACTCTCCCTCCCCCTGCTATTGTGGGTAGCAGTAGCGCGGTCGCAGTTGAACAGTTGCTCACACTCCGCTTTATCTGGTGAATCAGCGAAGGCCTCGCGAAAACGAGGTTCATTGCAAATGCAGCAGAGATCCATGGCTGCAGAAAGCGCCGGAACGCTGGGAGCCCATGCGCAGAGCCAAACGATACAAATAACGAGGTGGAAAGCACCCGTTGTGCACACTGTGAACGCAGGAGTTCCCTTTTTGGATAGGGTAAGGAATGGGTGCTTTGGGAGTTACATAGGGCTTCAAGCTTAAGCTTGAGCTTTGGGCTTGGGGGTCTTGACGGTCGAGTTTCTAAATTTGATGTTCCCCGGCGACTGGCAAACTGGGAATTCAGCTCAAGGTCTACTTTGTGGAGGCCTAAACCCTAAACCCTAAACCCTAAACCCTAAGCCCTAAGCCCTAAGCCCTAAACCCTAAACCCTAAACCCTAAACCCTTTTAAGCACGGACTGAGGCTGCCGGCAACACCTGAAAGCCTAAACCCTAAACCCTAAACCCTACACCGAAACCCCCCCCCCCCCCTCTTTCCCCACCGCTCCCCTCCTCATACCCCCGAAAAAGCAGAATGGAACAAGAACCGCAAAGCTGATCATGCATCGCCTTGATGCTGTAAGCCTCCCTCCCCCTCAACCTTCCGTCCTATATGGGGGTTTACGACATAGGCCCCCCCATTATAAAGCCCCAAATAGGTAAGATTCCCTTAGAACAAGGACCCCAATAAGCTAGCCCTCATATCGTCAACCCCCCATGTTGCTGTATGGACTGGCATCCACCTGAGTGCCCAACTCCGCATTCAGCGCTTCCACTTCGACCGAGTTGTCGTTGAAGAAGTCGTACGTCGGAGAACTTATTCGGTGGTATAGGGTTTAGGGTTTTAGGGTTTTAGGGTGCTCTTTCTTCCTTGCTCTTTCCGCCCTATGCCCTGTGCTCCGCCCGCCGTGTTCTCTCGGGGTCGGACTCGGACTTGTCATCCTGGCATCAACATTTAGGGTAGGGTTTAGGGTTTGGGGTTTAGGGCTTAGGGTTTAATTGCCAGGGTTAATTAGGGTTTAGGGTTTAGGCCCCATTCAACCGAACGAATGTGTCAAGTGCATGCAGGCAGGCGGTTGAACAACCTTTTCTTGCACTCCTGCAGCCTGGCACACGGCGCCTGCTTTATGAGCAACGGTCATGGCAACCGTAAACCCTTTTGAGCCCGGAACTGAGCTCCAGGACACCCTAAACCCCAAACGGGCCCTGATCTCACATCGGATTAAACACACCAGCGCAAACACACACAGACACCGACATCGAGCAAGAGCGTGGGGTTCAAGCTACAAGCACAGATGCCTTCAGCACCATGCCTCTTTCTGAATACAAAAAAACGGGGTGGAGAAGCAATTCACGGTTTGCCCACAGCATATGCGGAAGATGTTCGGTTCAGGCTTTCGGCTCCAAGGTCGAGGCTTTTTTCAGGCTTTTCAGCCAGGGTTCAAGCAAGCTGTGTTTGGGATGTAAAACACAGAAGGGCCTGCCATGCAGGCAAAGGATGTGGGTGGGGATTGGTGGAGAGGGGTTGATGGGGGGGGGGGGGGCCTTTGTTGAGGAGAGAACTTGGATTTTCCCCCTCACCTCTGGCTTGCACTGGAGTCGTTCTTTTCTGCCCGTTCTCATGCAGGCCTTCATGCACCTGAGACATCTCGACTGCTTTGGGTGAGTTTTCTTGCACAGTCGCCGTCGTATGGGGGGGCAGGCCACGCCTCGGCCAAGATGACAGACTTCGGTTCATGCAATGCTCTTGACGCAAGATCGCACAATCCCTTTTTGGCAGCAGTTGCAGCCGCGACCTCTCGATCTCAAGTACTGAATTCAGCGAAGCGCTCACTTGTGGGTCTCGGCTCGGGGGGCATCCTGGAATTCTGGGAACGCAAGCGAGACGATCTTCCCACAGCAGATTGCTGAGGCTCAGGCTTTGGCACCTTTCACACCTTAGGAACCGTAGACGCCAGGCTTCTGCCTCGGCAACAATGAATAGCTATCACATGGGAAGAGCAATCTGCAATAGCTATCAGAAGAAGCTTAACACCCCCGCATCTCGGCATCACTTTCTAGGGGCGATGCGGAGTCATCGCAGGACTGGCGTCCAGCGTTCGCAACCTGAGAACCAGCAGATGCAACTTGCTAAAACATTTGGGTAGCAAATGAACCGATGTGAAACTTTCCCCCGGCGGCATCGACAGGGCCTTTGACCACAAAGGCTGTTGCGTACATGGCTACATCTTCATGTTGTGCCAGTGGCTTGACCACGCCACAGGTGCGCCGAATTGCGAATTGCAGAAGTCATCTCTGAGTTCAGGCAGGTGTTTCCAGCGCATCTTTGTTCGGTGCAGAAAGGATTTGTGGGCCTGGTAACCAATCACTCTATGACTTGCCGGCAACGACGGAATTCAAGGAAATACTGTAAGCAGCTGCACCGGGCCTAACTCAATCAACTCCTGCAGTGACTGCGGGATATGGCGCGATTCGAGGCGGGTATGTCGGACATCGATCCCCCGAAGGTGTTGCTTCAGTTCCCCCCCTGTGTGCAGCCTGAGAAGCGATGTGGCGGCATTGACCACCGGCGGGGGAAGGTTTGCACCTCCCTTCATGCCAGGCGGGGCCTTTCCTTGGGGCCCAGCAGGGCTCTTGCTTCTCGTTGGTCTATTTCCTTCATTAGGGTGATTAGGGTTCTTTAGGTCATTGAGGCTCTTAGGGTTCTTAGTGGTCCTTAGGGTTTTTAGGGCTCCTAAATTTCTTAGGGTTCTCAGGGCATGGGAATTCGCGGCTGAGGCGGGCTCCAGCAGCGGCTTCGGTCTTGTAGGTCTTGGGTGGGAAGTACAGGTAGTCAACGTCCTCATCGCTGACAAGCTCCTCACAGTGAACTTGCCCTGCCCGAGTCATGGAATCCTTTTGGGGTGCTGCACCTTTCTTTGGCTTCCTGTGGTCAGTTAAGCAAATCTGAACACGTCCCCTAGTAGTGAGGTGCCGGGTTATCACATGCTACCAGACTGCAATTCCCTGTCAAGCTTTGAGGCTCCTCGGATGAGCTGCTGGAATCCGAGTCTTGCCAGCGCTGGAAACAGCAGCAGCACCTGCAGGAACAGGCAAAGAAGGGAGGTAGCAGGCACCCATTGGACCACAGAAAACAGGACCGGCCAAGAGACATGCAGCAGATCCTGCCTGCCCAACATGTGCTCAACAGAGCTCGGAACTCTTGTCAAACCATAAGGCAATGCCCACTTGCTCTCATCGTTGCTATGAAAGCAGAGACAACTCATCCAGTGCCATAGAAGTTCATAGGATTAAGTTCAGTTTCTGCGAAGGCTCCTTCCAGCTTGAGCAGCAACAAGAGGGCGGCACTGGGTTCGTCTTTACATTGCCATGCAAATGCATGGTGGCATGGTGGCCCGAAAGTCAAGCGTGACACCGGGGCATCGAAACCAAATCGCTTCAGGAAGCTCGAGGTCGAGCCTCCCACGAGGCTACGAGGAGCTCTTGGGTGGGTTGTGAACATCTTTGGGCTTCCAGATTGGATTTGCGGACCTCCGCGCGTGCCCCCGGAACTCTTCACTAAGCGTAAGGGAAGCGGGCTGAGCTCGCTCCCCTCTTCCTCCTCTTCCTCATCGTCGTCGTCATCGTCCCTGTCGCTTTGACCACGCTTGCGTGGGAAACGCTGGAAGCAGCGAAGAGACAAAAGTAAGGCGTCGACCAGACCGAGTGCAGCTCTTCCCTTCCGTTGCTGCTGTTCTGGGTGTCCAGGGTATCCTGGCTGTCCTCCATGGGCAATTCCTGGCTGTCCTGGCTGTCCTCCGCCAGGCTTTCCACTTGAAACTGCAGCCTAGGCCCAGGTCCATGGACCACATATGAAGATAGACTAGATACAAGTATCTTGTACACATCTATCATATACTATATACATATACACACACACAGATGTATACATACATATATATATATATATATATATATGTATTGTATTTACTATGCTATGTTTTAGGTTTGATAGACTACCTTATGTTACCTTTCCACACATTATCCTATGTGCATGTGCAATATGTTGTTAGTATGCCTAGAGAAATATACATATATACATATATATGTATGTATATATATGTATATATATATATATGTATATATGTTTGAATATCATATGTGCCCTGTGTATAAACCTTTGGTCGCCCCCCAAATGGCGAACCTGGAATGTGAGAAATACATGGAAAATCAAACATCCAAAGCTTTCCGGGGGAACCTCCAGCGAGGTTTGGCTTTTTGGGTTTTGACAGATAAATCGGATGAATCCCATTGAGTTTATTTATGTAAACTATTTAGAATCTTTTCACTTTCTTTTCTATATCTAAGAGAAATACATGAGCTAAATAGACCCGAAAGGTAGCTCTTCGTATGTATGTATATAGGTTTACATAGACACTTAAACATAATCATTGGTTTTTACCACAAACAGAAAGGGGGAGGGGGGGGGGGGCTGGGGGAGGGGCGTGGGAGGATCGGGTGCGCTATGACCATATACATACATGTCTAGATACATAATCGAACACATACATATATATATATATACTTGTATATATTTTTCCTGCAAACGAGGCCACGACATGTGAATTGCTCGGCGCACATCTGAGGCTTCAGCATGGCGTGCGTTAAGCGCCGCTGGGCTGTGCTCACAGCTTTGTGCATCTTGCTGATGTTCTCGATCTGGGTTTAGGGTTTAGGGTTAGGAATAAGACTTCAAGAGCAGTGTCCTCAAGGCCCAGGGGGCCAAACAACCAAAACCCCCTGAGCAGGCCACAATCTTTATCGATTTTTCACCCACAACCTGGCAGCTGAGTCGTGAAATGTGCGGGGCTGATGACCCGTAAGCCTTCTTTGTCCAACACGCGAAGCAGGAAGGGAGCACCGTCTTTCGCCACTGGCCGATTTCTTTCTCTTGTTCTTCAGCCAACTAGGTGCGGCCGACAATGCAAATTACCAAGCATGTCTGCTGCCGGATGCTAAGTGCCACGCAGTTTTGGCCTGGACGCGCATGTTGATGATACGTCGCCTGAGAAGATTTTCAGCGAGGGCTTCTGAGCCACATAACATAACAACCCCCACTGTGACGTGAGAGCGTGGCTGAGCATCCTCCCAGAGGCGCTGGTAAGCCTGGCCGGAGAACATCTGTGCAGTTCGAATCATTTCCGGGCAACAAAGTTCGGGTGTTTGCAGGCAGTGCAATCAGATTGGACTTTGCTCAGACTGCCGGCACCAGTTCGTGATGCAAGACATGACCATCTGCACCCGCTGCTTCTTCTTCTTCTTTTTCACTGGACTCCTGAGCGAGGTGCCCTAACATTTGCCTTCCACAGGCCACAGGAGTGACAAAAGACCCAAGCAATTCCCAATGCAGCTGTGCAGCAGCTTGATTTTCTCTTGGACTTCACGTATGGCCTGCTCTCCTGGTTGGCGTGGCACGTTCGACCAGTCATAAATCGGCCACTCATAACTACATGAGCGGATTCCTGTGTGGGTGCCCGCGCATTTAGAGATGCTTTTTAAAGGCACTGACCGAATTAGGACACCCCAAGTCCTCCAACCTCTTGGAGCTTTTCCGCAAGCACTTGGACCTCGAGGAAAGTACTCAAATATGTTATGTGGAGGCCATCTTGGCCTCGTCATGAGACGATAGGAACATTCAAAGCAGTCTGCCCACATACGGCGCGAGAAAAGAAGCGGGTGAACGCCTCATAAGATTTTCAATCATGTTTAATTTAAACCAATGTAATGTAGTATAAACGAATCCAATCTGACAATGTTGTTCGGACGCTCACTACGAATATGATGAAGACTTACCAAGAGCATTAGGACAAAAAGGCAAAGAGTGAGTGTAACTTAACTGGGTTGGCCTAGACCCTCTGAAAAACATTTATACATAGGGTCCGTTATAAACCCAAATAAGGAAAAAATGCCAAAAACAACCTATTTAATTTGTAAGGAGTGAACGAAGTGAACGAACACCGGAAATTAGGCTTATGAGCGAGCGGGGGCCGGGGGCAGCTTTACAAGTTTCATATGTTTTCTCGCGCCCACTAGATCGAACCTGTTGGTTCAGCTCCGCGATCTTGTTCTCCAAGTCCACTTTCTCCTTGGATGAAGGACGATCCCGTCGCACTCAGGACTTTTTGGCGAGATCATGTGAGAGTAGCATGGGACTCCGCAGATGTCCACAGTGCGACACCGTGCCACATAGTGCAGCTGAAAGACGTCTTCCAGCACCATGCACTTGTCCTTCCAGTCGCTGCTGCCAGTTTTGGCGCGAGCCGCGGCGGCAGCCTTCTCCTTTTCGACAGTGACGACTCGGGTCACTGTCCGCACTTCTGGACCTGGGGCCGCATGACGCTGCAAAGGGTTGGGGCCCAGGGCACTGCTCAATGCTTTCAAGTGAAGCCGCAGGCTTTCCTTGGATGGAGATGCCTTGGAGGAATAGTCGGAATAGTCATTGACTTCATGGTTGACACCTGCTGGACATGGAAAAGATGCCCAAACTCCCTGCCTTGGATTCTGTTCTCTGTTCGAGTGCTTCTGCCTTGCCAGACAGATGCGCCAGATGCACTTCTTTTGCTGCAAAGGACCGTTTGGAGTCACACGCCGTTTCTCGATTTTCTGAGCTTCTCTTCACTAAGCTGCATGCCTCTGCTCTGGCCTGCTTCAAGGCAGAGCGAGTGAGAGCTGCGCTCACTTTCACAGGTCTTGCAATGTCCGTTGCCAGGTTCAGCCACTCATTTATTTTCCATCTCAGCGAGGCAAGTCCGGCGCAGTGCGCTGGCACAGACATCGAGATCCATCGCGCCGCAGGCTCCAAAGCTCCAACCTGTGAAGGGTGCAATCGCAAGTGGCCGCGGGGCCTTCGGGATGCACAGAGGGCAAAGTATGGCAAAGTCTTTTTGGCCTGGTGCCGATCATTGTTGAGCTCCTGCGACCGTTGCCACTCAGTGGTAATCGCCGTGCCATATGCCCCCTGAATCTGCCACCTGATCGGCATTTGGCACCATCTGTGAGCTCTTTGTGAGATCAAAGGCAGATTCACAGAGCAAGAACTAGCTGCTGCTAAGACTACATGACTGCCAGGCACTGTTGGCCTCTGCAACTCTGAGACATCCCCTTGCCTGTGTCAACTTGCGGCATGCCCCTTCTACTCTTGATCGTGCTCCTAGGGCTTCCTGGTGCTCAGAAGCTGCAGATCACTGGCATGGCGCCGTTGCAGATCTGCTTGGCTCGTGCGCGGTGGTAGCCCCGCATGTCTGGAAACAGCTTTGCCAAGCGATCCGAAAAGGCTTTCGCAACGCTCCTCCCTAAAGAGAAGAAAGCATTCCCGCGGTCAGGGCCTGACTGAGTTTGTTTCCACGACCACGACTGTTCAGCCCGAGCGTGAAGAGGAAGCTCCACTCAACCCGCCGCAGCATGCATGCGTTGCATGCAGCGGCATTCCAGCACCGTTTTGAGGCTGCTGGCCCAGGCTCGAGAGAGCCTATCCTTTGTGATGGGATTAGGTAGCACACGGTGTGGGCTTCCTTCAAGCATCAGGCACATAAACTTTGTGAAACACAATGGCCTGTGACACTCAGCGACTTAGCTGGAGGAGCAGCTGGAGAGACCCCTCCCTGAAACGACCTTCGTAAGTGATGGGATATCGAAATCTTTGTCTAACTCGGAGGGTCTGTGCACGGATTTTCCGCGCACTCGCTGAATACATGAGCTGGTGAGACAGATCACAGATTGTCACAGACCATGGCGCCCCTCTTCAGTCATCACAAGCCAAGGTATCTCCTTCTCAATTTAGAGAATCCGGTGACTCTATGTGGCTGTTGAAGATGCACTACAGAACCGCGGGGAGGTACTGCCAGGTCATTAGCCATGAGCCAGCGACTGTCAAACGCTGCCACAGAGCTGTTGCTCAGAGATTCGTCGCCTCGTAGTCGGGCGCCACACGACCTCGCACGCGTTTCAGCTGAGGCCCAACTGGGTGATGCGATCAGGCTGCGTGCGCACCACCCAAGAAGAAGAAATCCTGCAACTCTTGACAACAATCTTGAGTCGGCCACAATGGCAACCGATGCGCCAAGGTGCCTCTACTGCGAGTGCGTGTGGTATGCCTTGGGGGCAGGCACGGTCGAGCGTGATTCTGCTGCAGTAGTTTTGTCAAGTGCTTTGTCGAACGGCAGGCAAGGGACACCGCCGTTGGGCGGCCGCATGCCTCGAGTCGATGAGGCACCGCTTACTGATAATGCACCCTAACACACGATGATCCTAATCCTACGAACTTACAGGCACCCTGACTTTTCGGTCCCCCCAAAATCGAGACTCCCATCATCTCCTACCTGCATGATTCGCGTGTGCTGATGCTGCTTTGCATTCAGATGCATTAAACTTGCAGATTGCTGAAAAGCGGCTGCCGCCAGGGTGTGTTGAGCCTCTTCGCGAGGGCCCCATCGAAGACATGTACTCATCCTTTGCATGGCTTGCTTGGGCAACCCTAAACACTAAACCCTAAACCCTAAACCCTAAACCCTAAACCCTAACTTCCTTCAGCAATGGTGTAACGATTTGTCGCTATGGGAAAACTTCGCGACTCGTTACGACTGCTCAGTGCCCGGTGCAAAGCTCCAGACAACGTGCCCCCCCCCCCTTGTCTACAGAAACCCTAAACCCTAAACCCTAAACCTTAAGAAACTTGTCCAGAAGCACAGCTTCCCTTTGCACGTATTGCACACCAGGTTGCTGCAATCTGACGCACAGTGTCTCGCAGCATCTCATGGATATCCTCTTTGCCGGCGTTCTCCGGTGGCACGCGGTCCTGGCTGTTCAAGGTGCACCGTCTACGTATATGTTCCATAAACATCTGCAGCGGAAGCTCCGAAGTGAACCAAGCAGTGCAGCAGAGGGGCCTTTGAACTCCGGTATCGCCTGGGAGGAGTGACGAGAAGCTGAACATATTCGATGTTTATGCTGATGCTGTGTGCAGGTGCCAGCCCTATCCGCCCGGCTAATTGCAGGCAGCTCCAAGAGGAACCTCTGAGAGCAGGACTGGTTGCTGGAGACAGCACCATTATTTCCAGCCATACTGTTTGACCTTCCCATATCACGCAGCTCTTGCAAAATGCAAGTTATTTTCTCGCAGGTGCTGTGGCAGAATTCGCCAGCCTCATGAGGCCTTCGGGCGCTGCAAGTTCTAAGACCGCTGGGCTCCGGACTTACGCAAATACGGGTTGCTTTCGTTCTGTGCCTGGGAGTGGGGGATCAAGGGCATCACCATCCATGGCTTTGAACTCGTGTTTCGCACATGTCCAGGCCCTTGCCAACAATAGCCATCCTTACACGCACCCAAAGATTCTAGCGTCAAAAGCCCTTTACATCGCTCAACATAAAGCAGCCAAATCCTCCGACTGCCTCACCTAAAGTTTCTAAAGCATGGCCGCTGCGCACATGATACGCGCTTGCGAATGCAGGCACATGCAGCGATGGTTCTTCGACCCTCAGTGCTGTTACGTACTGCTTTCTCTTACGGCGACGTGAAAGGGTTGAGCAGCACCTTGGCTTGCTTCTCGACGGTCCAGTCAATGTCCAGCTTCTCCTGCCCATGAACTACGCTGACCGCTTTGAAAACTCGATTGGTTGCTTCGAAGAAGCGCTCCTCGAACTCTTGACGGGACACCTGCCCAGTGTTGTCAGCATCCATCTCAGCCCAGAGGATCATTCGATCGGCCTCGTTGACCTTGGAATCTTAAGGCCGCAGACTGCGCCGGTGCGGTGCATTCCAACTTGAACTCGAAGGCTCGAAGGGAGCCAAGCCCCCGGCCCCGAGATACTTCAGCACCCACTCAAAGGACTTGGCCTTTAGGATGGGTTCCTCGCCAGGCATCCTTGGAGGGAGCAGGGTCGCGCTTCTCCCTCTCACCGCCCTAGTGGGCCCTAATGGGCCCTAATGGGCCCTAATGGGCCCTAATGGGCCCTAATGGGCTCTAATGTTAACTTGCATAAGGCAATGGTTAACATCGCCCGGCGCGAAGTCTATCCAGCCTAGTCGCACGTCAGGGCCATTGCCCTGCTCACAAAACCACTCGAAGGCTTCCTCCGTGGTGAAGACTTTCACTTTCCTGTGCGTGCCAAAGCCGGTCCATACTAGAAAGACACATGGAAGGGTGATATTGCATGATTGAGGGGCAGATGAAGTACCTCATTCCTTGATTCTCCGAGAAAGAGCCAGCAAAATCGAAGCAAGGAGCCGGAGCAGCCGCTCGGCAACATTTTGCCATGTCGTCGAAGGCCTTTGCTCGAAGCTGGCATTGTTTCAAAGATGTTCACGTGTTAGCACCCGAAGCATCTTCGGGGCCGGAAAAGCTGGGACCGAATTTACATGAAGCATGTTGCCCCATCCGCATCCGCACACCACAAACATGGAATCCAGGTCCCGGACTCCAGTTTGAAGACACGCACCATGGACTGAACCAAGGTTGTGAAGGCCTACATGAGGCAGTCGACAAGCTGCAAGAACTGAGCAAGGGCACTTTTCCTAGCTGCCTAGCTTGTACTAGTAGCAGACAGAGCGGCACCCTGTGTCTGTACCGCTGCGAGCACAGGGGGGGGATCTCTCTGTCTTTGGGGTGGCAGACAGTGATGATACCCTGCCGAAGGCTTTCAAGTCAACTCGAATCTTGGACCTCGGGGTATTCGTCCCGCATGATCTCCACAGTCTGGTAAGGCAGCACCTCGTGCCCCAAGACCATCTCCCTGCACCCCCTGTTCCCTATAGTTCCTACGGCACCCTGCCAGGAGTCCTTCTGTGATGGGGTTCTGAAGGGAGGGGGGTTCAAGAGGGGTAGGTACCTAGGGAACCTGAGGGAAGCTTAGGGAGCCTGAGGGCGCAGTAGGGAGTATTACATACCCAGCTTGAACCCCCTCCCTTAAGAACCCTATCATTCTCCCCCCCCCTAAACCCTAAACCCTAAACCCTAAACCCTAAACCCTAAACCCTAAACCCTAAACCCCAAGGCACCGAGAGGACGCAGTAGGTCTTGGCCATGATCCAGGCCGCTCGAGGGCGCGCGGTAAGCATCCCGAGCTCGCCGAAGTATTTCCCGGCCGTATACTCCTCAGGACCATGGGTTTAAAATCTATACATATATATGTATATATATATACATATAATTATATAATTATATAATTATATAATTATATAATTATATACCCTACATATATACATATTTATGTTTGTTTATTTATTTATTTATATATTCATATATATATATATACACAGATAGGAAGATAGATGTGGATTATTGCAAGACAGAATGAGACCATCCAATATAACATGATGCAATGTGAGCAAGTTATTTTGGACTTGTTCTTGCGGTTTGGACCTCTTTCTTGTTGGTCTAGGGTTCGGATTAACATGCAGAGGCGATAGAGGTTTTTCCATTACAAAGGAAATAAAGGTTTTCCTATGAAAACGCTATGCAGAAAATAGCGGTCCGAGTAGAATATTGAGGAAATAAAGATTTCCTGTGAAAAGGTAAAGGAAATATGAAGAAAATGGAGGTTTTCCTTGAAACTATGGAGGAAGGTAAGTTCTCCTAAAGTAGAAAGAGGCATAGAGCCGGCGTAGATGCTTTGCCCCGATCAAAGCACATGTAAAGGAACTGGAGT